ATTAAGCAACCTTTGATTGATCAGCAAAACCAGCGAGGACGAAGTGGATGTAGTCGGCCATATGTTGGCTACACTCTATTGGAACCGGCAAACATCCATGATTTGCATGAAGAGCTCCGAGTAGTAGCCACGAAAGCACCCGCACATTAGTCACAGAATCAGCAAATGCTCCCGGAGCTGCCTAATTGAAAATATTCCTTTGTTTCGCTAAAAAAAAAAAACTTTCGAACTTCAAACAAAGCATACTTGGGTTACACTTGGTGGGCTCATTAGCCACGGAATAAATCGAATAACTGTTCGACAGTCGCGAGTATTCGATCTACTCATTTCTACGGCTATTGCTTCAGCCAGCTTCACTTTCAGATCTCCGCCAGTAGCATCAGAATTCGTCTCTTTCTAAAATAACAGTGGTTCTATGGAGATGAATTCTGAAAAATAGGTGTTAAAACCTTTAATTTTGCCAGAACATGGAGATCTGCAATAAAATCGAGAATTTCGAAGAGGAAAGGTCGCACAGCTTCAGAAGCGGCGGTGTTGAACTGATCGTCCGCCAAGTTCATTTCGATATCTGAAAACATCTAATGATTAACGTCCAGGAACAACTATTCTTAAATCTTGGCATGTAACTGGTTGATACCTAAATTTAGCCTGCAACCAAGATTGATAAAACATTTAATGATTCACATTTCGATGGCCGTCGCCATGAACATTTAAAGTGATAAAGCAAAACTGGACTGTCCAAACGTAGATCAATAAGTGTTTTTAACATCCTTGTAGGCTAATTTAAGGTATCATTCAGTGATAAATTTTTAGTGGAGTACTAAAACAATCTCACCTTCTCCAGCATCTTGGAGAATCAGGTTGGCAATCGTCATGAAATTTGCCTCGTGCATTGGGCATTTGAACTTGATTGCCTGGATCAACTCCGCAACCACTGCACGTGAGATACTTTGTTTATCCCTCTCCTAGAATGATCTTTTAGTATCCAAAGAAACTGAAACTAGTTAAACTTGTAAGGACTAACTCTGATTAAAGCCCGATTACAAGCTGTACAGACAGTAAGTAGGCTCTCCAACTTTACCGGGCAACCGTGGAACGCTTCGGCTAGCCATTTGCAGAAAGAATCTACCAGCGAGACAGCGGACTAAAGGTAATGTCTTGAGATACGATTTCCGTTGTATAAATATTAAAATACTGTACTTCGTATCTGTCTTACTTGCTTTTCAGGGAGGCCTTTGAATATGAGGAAAGGAAGAATAAGCGCTATGAGTTGCTATAAGTTCAAGTCAACCCTGTTTTGTTAATCTTATAACATTTTGACCCATTCAACTAATTATTGTCATAAAGACGAGAATGGAAACTGACACAAAGATATTCGGTTGAGTTGTAAATTAATAGATAAGTCGATTACAATCAGCACCCAATCTTGCTTTGAGCGGCGCATAAACTTCTAAGTTTTTGAAAACGTTTACCTTAAATGCACTGAAGTTCTGGACCTTCAATACATGACTCATAACAATAATACCACTTTCGAGCTCTGATCGTGTTGGTTTCGCAGCACCTTCGGCAGAGATCTGAAATAGCGCATCTATATGCAAATCTACAAAGGCATGCTATCAGTGCTCGTAAAGATTGAAGTTTCTAAACGAAAAATGCGCTGGAGAATTTCGAACTTAGATGAGAATTTATTGTCTATGGGAGCAGATAAAATGAAATTGTATTAGTTAAAAAAA